CAGATCTCTGTGCAGATGTACCATTGCTAAATCATGGAAAGATAGTCTAAAATCTATTTCATTTGAAACCTTTTCTATTAAATGATAAACATGAGGAGGCATAACATCATTTTACATGTCACCAAAACTTCAGAGTCAGCAGAAAAGAGACCAAGTAGCCAAATGAAAATTTCTATAACGTTTCAGAATTATTACCTTCCTTGACATCATGTCTTAGGGCACTCAAGCAGGCAGGAGCCTGTCACTTACAGCCCCTGTCATTTCCTGTTCCAGTTCATTAAACCATGCTTTCCCCAGAAATACACAATCCACATGATTCTTCTGCCAGTCAGAAAAGATCAAAAGATGCAGAAATCGATATGCAACTCTGAATGGGCAGGAAGGTCATAATAAATTGCCACCTACACATGGAATTATATTTTGTAGAATGACAGTGTGTGGGCAGAAGCAGCACAAGTTTATGTTAAGACCTTATAGTTGAGCTTATTTTATATTGACAGGCTTACTGCATACTGACTGGCTTCTCTTTGGCTGCCAAAAAATGAATCACATTCAAAAGCTAAAGCCCAGTCAGCGATCCTTTCTCTTTGCCTTTCTCTCTAAAGATTACCCTAAATAGGTAATAGAGACTGGGTGGCTCAGTTCCCTGAGCACCTGATTCTTGGTTTTGGCTAGGGCCATGATCTCAGGGTCTTGAGATCAAGCCCTGCATGGGCTCTGCACTCAGCAGAGCTGGAGATTCTCTCTCTCTCCCTCTCCCTGTTGTGTCCCTCCTCCAACCCCATTCCTCCACCCCCAGGTGCATGCACACAGGATCTCTCTCAAATAAATAAACAAATCTTTAAAAAAATTAATTTAAAAATAAAAAATAATTACACTAATTAATTACCCTAATATAGCCAGTTTCACATAGAGGTCTGATTCAAAACATCAGTTTTCTAAATCATTTTGTCTCTCTTCTGAGTGATACTTAAGATTCTAGGATTCCAGAATCACATTCATAAACATACTTATCAATACCACTGCTTCCCCCCTCCCCCAAATATGTCACATGGTTAGTACATGCCCCAGTCAAAACCAGAATAAAATAACACTCTAATGTGGAAATGACAGCTTGAAATAATGCAGCTGGCACTCTCCTCTTAACCATGAATGAGAGACATTTGGGATTGCTAAGACAACATTTAGCTTTCAGAAGCATGCTGCTACCAGGAATGGAAAGAAAGGATCTTACACCTTCTTTTTTCCCCTAGTTCTAAAGTGGTGGGCAAAATGCCTACTTCTATTGGTTTGAAGTTGTCTAGCCATTGCCAAAGAATGAGCAAAGCAAATTATATACACATGCTCTCCTCCTAAAATGCTACCTCCTTTGTGAAGCTGTCTTGATTCATTATTTAGAATTTATATGGGATGCCTGGGTGGCTCAGTGGTTGAGAAGCTGCCTTTGACTTGGGGCGTGATCCCGGGGTTCCAGGATCAAGTCCCACATCAGGTTTCCCTTCCTGCATGGAGCCAGTTTCTCCTTCTGTCTATGTCTCTGTGTCTCTCATGAAAAAATAAATAAAATCTTTTTTAAAAAAAGAATTCATAGCTTTCTTCTCTATGTTCTATCTTATAAGTTATACCTCCATTAATATTTGCATTAATAATTTCTATGAGTAATGTGTTTACTCTTACTAAACTGTAAACTTCCACAGCTCGGAGACCAAATTATTATCTCTCTGGTCCCCAAAATGCCAAGCAGAGTGCTTTAGAAATGGCAGATGCAAAATAAATGCTTGATGAATAAATATGCTGGTGTTAGCTTTATGATGTCTAGAAGTTATGATTTTAAGAGTTCTAATAAAAGTTGAAGATAGGGTAAAGAAGCCACCCTTCTTTTCTCTGTATTTGTATCATGACTGTGTACACTAAAGATGGAAATGCATCTAGAGATGTTCTCTTGAAAATATATATTATAGGGGCACCTGGGTGGCTCAGTGGTTGAGCATCTGCTTTGGCTCAGGTCGTGATCCCAGGGTCCTGGGATTGAGTTCTGCATCAGGCTCCCTGTAGGGAGCCTGCTTCTCCCTCTGCCTATGTCTCTGCTTCTCTCTTGGTGTCTCTCATGAATAAATAAACAAAATCTTTTTTTAAAAAATACATTTTATATTCGATATGTCTATTTTTGACAACGTTTGAGTAAACCATCTTTCGGAGAAGACTTCCAAGCTTAAACTGAACTTGATGGGGAAAATTCCAGTCAGACAAATGGTTATCTACTTCCCGTGATGAAGAGTGGTGTTAGATGTTGCAGAAAAAAACTGCAAAATCCTAACAGCTGAGAGCATGATGCTGCAAGGCTCTACTAACCAGGTGCTGCCTAATATAAATTGATCTAGAACAGAAAAAGAAGGAACCCTGAATTTAACTGAGAAGGAAAAATGGTCTTTAGTTCTCAAAAAAACAAGAGTTTAACTAGAGACTGATTAATGAGGAGTGGCAACTATTACAAGTACACAGAGTAAAAGGAAACGTGTGTCTAAAGAGAGAAAGGTAATGAAAGTCACCTAAATAAAAGTCCCCTCCCCCACTCTATTTTAATTTGTTTTGCATGTTATTTTACTACTGGATACAGGGTTTGGTCAAACTTTAACAACTGCTTATTTGGAAATTTCTACACAATGATCAATTTCTCCCACTATGTACATCTTTTCCATCCAAAACAAATAGGATACTTTGCTCTGACAGGAACAATTTCCAGTCTCTTATTGAAAGGTACAAGGAAAGATGGGTAATTGTTTGAATATCTTACAGAACTTTTGAGTTCTTTAGGACATAATCCCTTGAAGTAGATTTAATCAAAAGATGAAAAGTACAAGCTCAAAAGCTTTTAGTTGACAAGAAACAAGTCTTTGGCTTCGGATTTTTGTATTTGAGTTGTAAATCAGCTTCACAGAAAAGTAATCAGAAACTACACTGGTCAGAGATTGGAAAGAACCATTGAAATGAAAGGTGTGAGACCATGGGTTGTACTTGGGACCTGGTCTCTTAACAAGTGTGGTGATCTTGCATGAATTACTTAAAACTCTCATCTGTAAAGTAAGGGACTAGACTGATAATTTCTAAAGCCCCCGTGGCGCTATCGATTTTTAATCGTCTAATATTGTTCCTTAAGTCATAGATTGGTTCATTCAACTATATGAATACCTTCAATGAACTTAATAAAGGACAGTTTCTGCCCTCAAGGAGTGTATAAGTCATGGGAAAAGTGAAATCTCTACCCCTAGCTTCTAGGTGCTCATTCATCCATTCAAATTCTAAACAAAGGTCACAAGGAGCTCAACAAGAATGAGAATGGTAAGGAGAAGGAGAAACTCCACAAAAGCTCTTAGAGGAAAAAAAGAGTATTGTCTCAATCCACCAAGGTTTATTGAGTGATCCCCGTCTGCTAGGCACTGTGTTGTGTGTTGAGCTATAGGGATCCTGGAGTGACCCAGACAGATCAGGCCTCTAATAAAGCTTACTTGCATTCTCCGTGGTGAAGAAAAACAGATTAAGAAATAAATGAAATCCAGATTGTGATAAATTTTAGGAAGGAAACAATGGTAATGAGAGACAATAACTGTGTGTGTGTGGGGGGGTGAGATGAACTTTCATTAGCATAAGGTAGAGGAAGAAGGCTCTTTGGAGACAGTGAAGCTGAGACGAGGGCAGATGAGAATGACAGAACAGAGGGACTAGTGGTCCCTCCATTGGGAAGTGGGTAAATACTGACGCCGAAAGGGCTGGAGCAGAGAGACCATCTGCCAGGCTGGAGCTTACAGAGCAATTTCTTCTGGAAAGTTCAGGATTAAAGTAGTTCCCAACCAAGGGTGGTTTTGTCCCTCAGGGGACACTTGACTACATCTGGAGACATTCTGGGTTGTCACAAATTGGCAGGGAGAAGAATGACCGCGGAGGTTTAGAAACCCTGCACTAAAGAACTATCGCAGCCCAATTCATGGTTTTAGTCATTTCATTATGTTATTAACTCATGTTTTTACCAGCTTGGATCTTTTATTCCTTTACTGCAGAAACAGAAAGTAAAACAGGTGTCCAGAGGCCCCATGCTTCATCCACTCCCAAAGAAATCCCATCGCAGAGGTTCAAGGGGGACTCCACGAACCTTCGAGAAACTCCACAAGGCAGTGGAATACGTCTGAACGCGCGACGACAAATCGATGTTGAAAATAACGCAAAGTTGGATCGATCGATGCCAGGGAAGAAGTGGAGATGCCTCAAGGGGTGACACCTCTGTCTCTGGACCGCTAGGTCCCGCTGCCGGCTTCCGCGAGGACACCCGTACTCCAAGCACCTAGGCTCTAGAGGCTTCTCCCCGACACCGCCCTAAGCTGGTCTCACGCCTCTCTGTCCTGGTCCCCGTCCCAGGCTCGCATTCACCCCGCGGTCCTTCCGGCTCTAACCAGGCCCCGCCCCATTGACCCCAGGTCCCTCTGGGCCCGCCAGGACCTCCGCGCCGCCGCCTCACCTGGGACAGCAGGCGTCTCCTCAGCGAGTCCCACTGGAGACTGTCCTCGACGTACCGGTTGCCCAGGTGCAGCGGCCCCGCGCGGAAGGGGTCCGTGGGCGGCGCCGCGAGCCCAGGGCGGGTCCCTCAGGCCCGGGAGAGCGGGGCCAGCCCTCAGAAGGGCAAGAAAGTCGGCAGCAGGGACGCGGCGCCGGCGACGGGAGGCCGTGTGGCCTGAGAACCAGCGCGAAGGAGGCCCGCCCCAGAGGACGCCGGCGCTGAGGGGGCCGAGCCTGTCAGGGGTCGGTTAGCGGCCGCTCACCTCTTTTTGCATATTCATGAAGCCGAACGAGGCAGACCGCCCAGGCAAGCCTTGGAGAGATCATGAATTATTCATGAGGCAGCGTCTCGCCCCGCCCCCAAAGGACCTTATTGACTATTCATAAGCCTAAGCGGGTTTGGGCCGGAAACAGCCGTTGGGCACTCACCCTCCTGAGGGAGGCGTCGACAGCTGAAGTGAGGGCTGTCCAGACGCAAGGTTTCCGGAGAAAGACAGTGCTTGAGCATCGTCAGTTTTCCTAAGGTTAGGTTAATTTTTTTTTTCCTTTCCTTTTCTTTTTCCTTGAGGCTTTAAGTTTGATTTGAAGGTATTTCGCAGAGGCCCGAGGTTCTCTGAGGAGAAGCGGGAAGGCTGGCCCTGAGGAAGAAGACTAAGGGAAGCTTCTAGATTAACACCCTGCCCTTCCCTCTACTCTCGCCCCCGGCGCTCGAGTTTGAAAAATTTCACGTACAGCAGGAAGGGAGGACGAAAAAAAAAAAAAGAGTGGGGAGAATTTTTCTGCGAACACCCGCATTCCCGCTATCAAGGTAGCTCTTGAATTCAGATTTCAGTGGAAAGAAGCAATGAGTCTTGGTGAGGAAGCAGCAGCGGTAGTTAGCGAGTGGCCCAGCACTGGGGTCAGGCCAACGACGTCTGTGTATTGCTGGGGGTTGGGAATGGAGCTTTGGGGTGACGTTGGGTAGGTCAGATTTTCGCCAGCCATGGAGGTGTGTTCCACCAGGATCCATGCGTGGCGCAGAACAAGAGGTGACTGAGGTGGGGATGGGTCCCCACGGAGTCATCTTGGCTCCTTTGCCACCTTTTCCAGGACGTGCCGTTTAATCTCTGTGGACTTTAGGTCCCCGAACAGTACAAGGGCGAAACTGTCTTGAAACGCAAGATTAGCCAATCACCGACATGTGTTCAGATGTGCAGAGCATGGGACGGAGTGTTTTCACCTCACTTGGCTGGTGAAAACATAGATGAAGTTCGGTCCTTGTCCCTAAAAGAGTTTTTTTATTTAATTAGGCTGATAGTCTCCTATCTCCCCCATTGGATCATCAATCTCTTGAGATGTGATTGGTATTTTACATCTTTGCAATCCTACATGATGTCTGGTACATTGTAGTCACCCAGTAAATTTTGAATGAATGAATAATTGAGGTAGCCCGAAGAAGATATTAAAAAATCAAAAGAGCATGAACAAATATCCGATTAATATAGTGGAAAACCATTTACTCTGAGTGAGCGTGGAAAAGGGGAATTATCAGAGCCAAATGGAATTTGTTAAAATGGTGAATAATAATTTATGGAAGCAAACTCTGTGAAGCCTCTGAATAACTGGGTGACCTCTGACAAACCAAGTTCTTTTGCTGGACTTCATTTTCCTCTTCTTTATAGTTTTACATTTTACATTTAAATCCATGACCCATTTTGAATTATATTTGTGTGCAGTGTGAGATTTAGACTGAGAGGTTTTTGTTTGTTTGGTTTGGGGGGGGTTGTTTTTGTATTTTGCCTACAGATATCCTGTTGTTCCAATACATTTGTTGAAGAGACTATCCTTCCTCCACTAAATGACTTTCCTTTTCTTTAAAATAAAGGGATTAGATTACCTTTAGAGGACATGTCCTTTCCCTTCCAAATCTATGATGCTGAGCCCATTATGCAAATGTACTTCCTTTGTGTAAAGCCATCCTTCATATCAGGCAAGAAAGCTCATCTAGTTGCATTTTAGAATTCAGCTATTAGATATTGTTCATTTGATATAAAGGGAATTTTCTTGTTAAAAAAATGGTTTTGGAAGATTGGGAAAGATGGGTGGAAATCATTAGGAAATCAACTATTATTGTCTTTGTGCAAACATGATAAAAGTGGTTTTTACTTCACTCAGAATGGCCAAAGTGGCGGGGGGGGGGGCAAGAAGTGGCTTAGGCTTTAATATACTGAGCAATAGCTGGTTAATCTTTATTTAAATCTTGGATTCACTTGTAAAAGGGTAAAATAGTAAGCAATTGTATCAACATTTTAAATAGGGCAGTTGAGATGTAAGTCAAGAGGTTAGCCTAGTATGAGTCTTTTTATCTGAGAAAGTACATCTTGCCCTCTCAAGACCATAATTCTTGTCACAGAGTGAATATATCGAGTATAAGAGTGAATGATATTGATGCCCTGTGACATTTCAGATATTTGTGGGTCAAATATGCAAGCAAATATATAACTGAAAGACATTTGAAAGTTAGAGTTTTGTTCATAAAATCGATAATTATTATGAACTCTCTCCTAGGCTTTTAGATAATGAGTTAGAACAAGATGATTAAAAAACATCAGAGTTACTCTCTTTGAGTGCATGATCTGTAGTGTCATACCTCCTGGGGCTGTCAGCTTGTGAGCTTTCAAAATTAAGCAGAGTTTGTACTTGAATAGGAGACTTCCACAAAACACCTGCTCAAAGAGAAAACAACAGTAGCAAAGGAATAATTAGAGGTTGAAAAGAGCCTGGCTATTAAAAAAATCATTTAGATATGTTTTGCCTTTCTAAAGCAAGCTCATTCTAGAACAACAGAAAAAGACACTACTGTATTTAGAAGTAAGCAAGCAAGCTCCACAACTAGGAAAGCACTAGTAGTGCATCATTTTAAATGGAATGCAAGCAAAAAGGAATTTCATTTTAGGGAGTCATTGTAGAAAAACTCCTAAATTGTGAGTAAAAATTTCTTAAGTTTTATTCTCAGTCTGCCAGTGAGTGTTTGTTTGACCCTGAGTGAGTTGATTTCTCTGGACCTTGATTTCCTCATCTAGAAAATTAGATGTTTGGACTGGATGACATTTAAAGTTCCTCCTATCTCTAATATTCTGTAATTCTTTTCTAGATACTTAATTCTTTCTCGTTCTTGTAGTACTTCTCTATTGACCCAGCAAATATTTATTGAGCATCTATTTTGTTCCAATACTGGAACAGTGCTGAGGTGCTGAGGATTCAAGAATGAGCTGAACCAGACATAAAAGGTGACATATTACATGATTTCATTTATATGAAATGTCCAGAATAGGCAAATCCATAGAGATGAAACATAGATTAGTGGTTACAAGGGGCAAGGGGGAGGGGAGAGTGGGGAGTGATTGGTAATGGGCATGGAGTTTCTTTTTGGGAAAACAAGAATCTTCTGGAATTAGTAGTGAAGGTTGCAAAACTATGATATACTAAAACCCATTAAATTGTACCTTTAAGGAAACCTTTAAAAAACAAAGAATGAGCTAGACAGACACAACTTTACTTTCATGTTAGCTTACAATGGGGTGGGATGGATACATAAATGTAACCGTGATACTGTATATATTACAATGGGCACGTAATCCAACTTGGTGGTGGTGGTCAATCAGGGAATAGTTCCTTGAGAACACTATACTAAGCCAGATCTAAGAAATAAGTAGGAATTGAGAATGGAGGAGAAGGTTTCAGGGAGAAGGAATATTACAAAAGCCTGAAAGCTGAAGAGAATATGGTTTAGGGTAACTAATGTTAGTAAGAATAACTGATGCATAAAATTGTGACGGGAAATGGTGAGAGATGGGACTAAGGAGGCATGAGCGAGATATTGAAGCCATGGTAAGGAGTTTGGATTTTATCCTGAGGGCAGTGGGAGCCTTTGAAGAATTTCAGTCTATGGAGTTACATAATCATGTTTGCAATTTAAAAAGAAAACTCAAAAAAAAAAAAAAGAAAAAGAAAAAGAAAACTCAGACTGCAATACAAGGGAGAGAATGGAGAAGGGCAGGATCAGTGACAAGCAGACCGGTGGTTATAGCAGTCCAGGCAAAAGATGAGGCTAATCTCATCTAAAGCAGAGATAACAATAACATGTGTAAAGTGAGGAATGGACACATTTGATAAATTTCTTTTTTTAATTATTTCATTCATTTATTTATGAGAGACACAGAGAGAAAGGCAGAGACATAGGCAAAGGGAGAAGCAGACTTCCTGTGGGGAGCCTGATAAAGGACTCGATCCCAAGATGCTGGGATCACAAACTGAGCCAAAGGCAGATGCTCAACCACTGAGCCACCCAGGGGCCCCAATATTTGATAAGTATTAAGGAGACTGGATGTGGAAGTGAGGCAGGGTCAAGGTTGAGTTATAGTTTTTAGGCATGAGCAATTAGGTATTTGATATCATTCACTGAGCTAGGGAACAGAAACAGGATTTTTGGGGAAAAGAACTGACATTTAGGTGTGTTGGGAACATCAAAGTGAAACTGTCTTATAGAGGTATAGATCTCTAACTCCCCATAGAGATCTGGACTCCTGACATATAAGAATTATTAGAATAGATATAGTAATTGAAACAATGGGACTGTATTTGTTCATCCAGGGAGTATGTTTAGAAGTAAGGGGGGGAAATGGAGCTCCTGAGCACCACACACTAAGAAATGGGAGAGGGAAAAGTCTGAAGTAGATGATGAGAAGGAACAACTGGAAGGCTGGAAGAAAACTAGAAGTTCAAATACTAACATAAGATTTTTAAAAATAAACATGCTTTGTTACTTATAATGAAATATTTGTCAGACAGTGTTCCAAGTGCCCTATAAATAATGACTCATTTAGTCCTCACAACAGATCTATGAAGCAGTTACTATTACTATCCTTATTTTACGGATGGGGACACTGAGGCACACAACTTGCTCAAGATGAAATGGCAAGTTAATTGCAGACTAAAATTTGATTGTAGGCAGTATGGCTCCAGAAGAGTGTGTGTACTTAACCATTATACTATGTATGCTCTCCAGATGAACACATGCTCAGATAAACACTATAAGAGCCCTGAGGGAAAAAAAAAAGAGCCCTGAGAAGTTGGATTTATTGTCTTTATTTTATAAAAAGGAAACTGAGGCCCAGGATGACTATGTGATTTAACCAAGTCACAGAGCTACTAAGTAGTTGAACAGAATTTGGATCTAGATTCCTTAACTCCAAAGCCTCTTTCTACTACATTGTACTGCTGGTTCTTTCTCTCTTTATACACACACACACACACACACACACACACACACACACATATATATATATAATTTAACTTTACTTACTTTATAAATGTTAATTCCTCAAGTATTTACCAAATGCTAATAGCGACTAGCTTTGAATTCTTTTTCAAAAGCAAGTGCCCTGATTGTCTCAGAGTTTTCAGTGATAGTATCAGATTAATCCAGGTTATCTGTACTTTCCAATATAGATGTAATAATGCATTATATTCTAATTGGCTGATGCTTTTTTTTCAGGGCTTGATTCTCTAGAAATGCCATCAGAATGTCTTACCATCATAGAAAAAATTATTTTAAAGTTTATTTATTTAAGTAATCTCTATACCCAGTGTGGGACTTGAACTTACAACCCCAAGATCAAAAGCTACATGCTCCACTGACTGAGTCATCCAGGCACCCCATAGAGAAATTGAAAAAAAATTAATGTAGTGGGGCCCCTAAGTGGCTGCTGGTTAAAGGCCCAGCCCTTGATCTCAGCTCAGGTCTTGATCTTGGAGTCTTGATTTCAGAGTCATGAGTTCAAGTCCTGTGTTTGGACATAGAGCCGACTTTAAAAAAAGAAATCAATGTAGAAATCTAAAAATTCTTCTTATTGTGATATATTGTCTCTAAGGCTAATAACTACCCCAGTAGGGAGTCGTTTACATGGTTTAATGGGCCAGAACTAAAGCTTGGACTCTTGTAGTTACATATTTTGCTCATTTTATTTCTTCAAGTTTTAAGGGAAGCAATTGATGTGTTGAGTCAGATTTGAAGGTTATACACAGAAATGAAGGCTATATTCTGAAGTCAACAAAAGATATCTTGGAATCTTTAAGGACTGAAGAACTATTAGGTGGTTTTTAGTATCCTATAAGATATTGTAAAAGAGTGTCCCCTAGTGCTACTCTGAAGAAGTAATTTGAGAGAAATTAAATACTGCTTGTTTATAATCTCTATCACCATCTTGTGGCAGTGTCCTCAAATAATTCTGCCTTCTTTTATTTGCAAAATCAACCAGGATCTTGCATTAACTTATACACCAAAAAAAGTCACAGGCTATCCTGGGTGATCCAGAATGGAATTACTTTAAATGGGCTATTTTATAAATATCTTGGTCAGAATTCCATAAAATGTTGAAAAGAAGCCCCAGTAAATTAGATTAAGGACTCTGGGGAAAAAAGGGAAATTTGCTTCTTTTTTTATGCTAGTGTAGCAATAGGAGTCAAAACTAGCTGTATCTTTTTACAATTTAAAGTCCTTCTGTTTTAATTTTTTATTTGTTTATAGTAAATTCTACCTCTAATGTGGGGACTCAAACCTGTGATCCCAAGATCAAGAGTCACGTGCTCTACCCACTAAGCCAGCCAGGTGCCCCAAAACCAGATGTATTTTTAATGTTAATGTTTTTTATGGTGTTAAAATACACATAATACAAAATTTACTGCTTCACCTATTCTCAAGTATATAATTCAGTGCCACTAAGTGCATTCATGGTGTTATACAACCATCACCCCATCCATTCCTAGAAAATTTTCATTATCCTGAACAAAAACTGTGTACTTTTTAAAAACCCGATTTTTTCCACCCTTCAGCTCTTTGTAACCTCTATTCTTTCTGTCCCTATGACGTTGACTACTTTGGGTACCTCTACTTCATATAAGTGAAATCAGGCAATATTTGTTCTTTTGTGTCTGGCTTATTTTACTTAGCATAATGTTTTCAAGGTTCATCCATGTTGTAGCATGTATCAGAATGTCATTCCTTTTTAAGGCTTCTGTATATCATTGTATTTACCACATTTTAAAAAACCCATTCAACTGTTGGTAGACATTTGGGTTGTTTCCACCTTTTAGATATTTTAAACAATACTGCTGTGAACATTAGTGTACATTTACTTGTACACTAATGAATTCCTGCTTTCAGTTCTTTGGAGTATATACCTAGAAGTGGAATTGCTAGATAGTATGGTAATTCTGTTTAACTTTTTCAGGAACTGCCATACTGTTTTTTATAGCAGCTGTATGATTCCCACCACAAGGCACAAGGGTTCCAATTTCCCCACATCTTCACCAACATTATTATTTTCCATTTTGGGGGGATAGCCATCCTAATGGGTGTGAAGTGTAAACTTCTACTTTTGAGTTACCTTTGAAAACCAATAACAGGGGCACCTGGGTGGCTCAGTGGTTGAGCATCTGCCTTTGGCTCAGGTCATGATCCTGGGATCCTGGGATGGGTCCAGCATCAGGCTCCCTGCAGGGAACCTGCTTCTCCCTCTGCTTATGTTTCTGCCTCTCTCTGTGTATCTCTCATGAATAAATAAATAAAATATTTTTTAAAAAGAAAGAAAACTAATAACACATAAAGTTAATTCAAGAAATGTTTTGAGCCCCTGCTATATACAGAACACAGTTGCACTCTAATGAAATAACAAGGATGAATAAAATATATTGTATCTTTAGGTGATTTACAATTTATTCTTCTCCTTCATATGTATTTGGGAACAAGCAAATCAACTTAAATCCTCACTGGGTGGTTGAAAAAACTAATCCAGAGATCTTATGCCAAATTTTTGGAAAATGAGTAGTGGAGATAAAAATGTTTATTAAACTAATTTTCCAAAGAATACAGTCAAATGCTAATTATGTAGTTCTTTAGAAAATTCACAACAAATATTATGTCAGGCAAAGTCTAATTTTTTTCCCACCCCCACAGGTCTGACTTGTTAAAAGAATCCTGGTTCATTACTACAATGGCCACTGCTCAGCTCTCTCACTCTATCAAAATTCATAAGGCATCTAAGGTAATTACTAAGAATTAAAAGAAAATCAATAACTATTTAGTGAGTTCAGAATCATGACTTTAATCTTTGGTGTTTTTTTTTTAAATAGCAGTTTTGTCAGTTAATTGGCACATATTTTATCAGAGTATGTCTACATTTTAACTGCCTAATCGACTGAGGATGTTCAAGAAATTAGAATACATTCCTACAAAGTAACTTAATGGATGCTTGTTTCATGTTTATGTGTTTAGGTTTTCTAGAGTAAAAGAAATCAGAAACAAAAAAGATGTTTAAAGAGAATGATTTCTTGTTAGACATTTACTATCAAGCAATTAGGAAATTTCTGATATGCACTGTGATGTAATTATAAGGGCTGAGGAGAGGGGAACACCTGGGTGGCTCAGTGGTTGAGCATCTGTCTTCCACTCAAGGTGTTATCCCAGGATCTGGGATCAAGTCTGGCATTGGGCTCCCCACAGGGAGCCTGCTTCTCGCTCTCCCTTTGCCTATGTTTCTGCCTCTCTCTCTGTGTGTGTCTCTCATGGATAAATAAATAAAATCTTAAAAAAAAAAAAAACTGAGAACACTGACAGGAACTTGGAGGCTGGGCCCCTGGAGAGCATGCCAGAGTCAAGCAACCCTCCTGAGTTCATAAGGGCAGGTGTATCTTGCCCCATGACATTCACTAATGAATCATTCACTTATTAATTGAGATCTCAATATTATATAATATATATACATACATATGTGTGTATGTGTGTGTGTGTATATAAATACTATACACACACATATATATAATGGTGTTATTCTCTGAGAGAATAAAATAAATCTTTATCTTCTAGTTTAGAATCTGGTAAGGGTAATAGGATTTAGAGGAGTTAAGCCAATACACAAAGCAGTATATGTATTACATATATGTGAAAAAGAGTAAAGCATATAAATACGTGAATTTAGAGACTTTATATAGACTTGAATGGTTTGTGTATTATTCATGAAGGAAATGTGACTTAAGATAGACTTTGAATAATAAAAAGGATTTGAATAGAGGAGAGAGAAGAGAATTCTATGAGGAAAAACTATCAATATGCTTTGGCTCAAAATGAAAAATGATCATGGTATATTTTAGAGAATAATGAAGAACCCATCCTTACTGGAGTTGAGAGACATCATGTTGGACAGAAGTAGGAAACAAAACTGAATGGGAACTTCGGAAACAAATTAAAATGGATCGTAAAAGCCAAGCTGAGGAATTTATACTTTATTTTTCAATCAGTGGACAGTCAGTGGGTTTGATCAGGAACATGAATAAAATTGTTTTAGGAATATTAAGCTGTAATAAAAAAAGACAAGATTCAGGTTGAAGAAGAATTAGTGCAGAGAGAAAGCAGTCATCTTTCTGGGTCAAATTCAATATACTCACTGGATTCCTGATCTGATTTGATTTCCTAAGTGGGCTTCTTTCCTGGAGCAGTGGGGAGAATGCTGAACTGGGTATATGAATTGCAATCAGCTTGGGTGTTATTTTTCTTACTGTAAATTAGCAAATTAACTTTTTGTTATAAACAGATCCTTGTAGTTTGGACTGCAGAAACTACTTTTCCCAGTAAATTTTAAGTGACTGTATGATTTTTCTATTTAATACTTAAAGCAATAATAATAACAATTACAGAAGTTAACATTTATTTCAGACTTACATGTACTGGGCACTGTGCCAAGGGCTTTATATTATTATTTCAATTAAGCCTCACATTAAGGAGGCTGCTGAAGTACAGAGAAGTAAAGTAACTTGTCTTAGGTAGTGTAACTTGACAGCTAAGCTGTCAAGCATCACTTATATCATTAGCACACTATATTGTTAAAATAACTTATAATAATATTTTCTATTATCAAGTCATAGTATTTTTATGTATTAGACTTTTACAAAAACATTGATGATGACCCTTAAAGTATTAGATCAGTTGAGCTAAAGTATTAGATCAGTTGAGCTAAGAAAAAAAAAATCCCTGGAGTAGAAAAATAATAGAACTCTAGAGGGATTTTCCAACTATTGATCTTCATTACTACAAATGGCCTTTTAGAGTCTATTTTAAAAATAAATGTCTTTATACTTTCAGGTTATTTAATTTTACAAATGGTTATTACTCTAGTACCGCCTCTGAGTTTTGGCAAGTTTTCAATAAATTATTATATATGCATGCCATGCCAGCTATTACCCAATTACTCAAAAGAACCTTAATTTATCAGGATCTGTGGGTACAAAAAACAATTTTCTATAAAATTTTACATGCACATGCATATACACATGCACATGACATTCACACCTAATTCTCCTTCAGCTTCAATTTTTCCTACTTCTACTATAGCTTAACATTCCTAAAACAATTACTTTACTCACTCTCCTGATCAAACTGAGTTTCCATTGATTGCAGAATAAAGCATAAATTCCTTAACCTGGCTTTTAAGATCCATACTGATTTGTCTTCCAATTTCCTTTCATACATGCAAGAGTAATAATTTTATTATATATTTTTAACAACTGAATATGATATAGTTTGATCATTCATTGCGACTATATGTATACCAAAGAGAACAAAGCCTATATAGCAAAATCATGACTAGAATGTCTTTGGAATACAGATATAAAAAGCTTTTTTAGGGGGTGCTTGGGTGGTTCCATCGGTTAAGCATCCGATTCTTGGTTTCAGCTCAGGTCATGATCTTAGGGTCCTGAGATTGAGCCCTTTGTCAGGTCTGCTTGAGATTCTGTCTTTCCCTCTTCCTCTGCCCCTCTCCCCTCAAATAAAGAAATCCTTTTTTAAAAAATATTTTATTTATTTATTCATGAGAGATACACACAGAGAGAGGCAGAGACACAGGCAGAGGGAGAAGCAGGCTCCATGCAGGAAGCCCGATGTGGGACTCGATCCTAGGACCCTGGGATCACACCCCAAGTCAAAGGCGGACACTCAAGTGCTGAGCCACCCAGGCATCCCAATAAATAAATCTTAAAAAAAAAAAGCTTTTTGGGGGGCACATGGCTGACTCAGTTGGAAGAGCATTTAACTCTTGATCTTGAGGTCATGAGGTCGAGCCCTACATTGAGTGTAGAGATTACATAAATACATTAAAAGAAAGACAGAAAAGCTTTTGGTCATAATTGGTGAATTACTGAAAACTACATATGAAACTAATGATGTACTATATGTTGGCTAATGGAATTTAAATTTTAAAAAGTGTTATGCTAAAAAAAAAAGAAGAAAAAAGCTTTTGGGAGTTCTTCATCAAAGGCATATTTGTGGGTCATACCTGCCTCTAAGTAACAGAATTATTAAAATTTCAACAGTAGAAACTGTGTAGTATAGTAAAAAGACCTCTGAATTTGACTAAAATAATCAGAGACTTAACCATTCTGACTTCTGACAGCATAAAAGTAGTAGTTTCACCTACTTTTGTATTTTATATAAGTGAAATCAGTAGTAATAATTTTTATCTTGTTTATTTTGCTCAGATTTATGTGTGAGAGTCATCAGTATTGTTAAGAACAGTTGTAAAAAAAAAGAACAGTTGTAGATCATTCTTATATCTGTATAGTATTCCATTATGGGGATATATTACAATTTGTTTATTCATTCTTTTGTTATTGGGCATTTGGATAGTTTCTATTTGGGGTCCATTACAAATAAAGCTGTTATAAACGTTCTTTGGTGAGCATATGTATGTATATCTGTCAGGTGTATACCTATGAGTGAAATATGGATCATAGAATATGTGTATCTTTAGCTTTAGTGGATACCACTAAGCATATTTTCCAAAGAGGTTGTACCCATTTAGTATGCTCCTGTAAACAGTATTTAATAAAAGTTTTGACTGATTCACATCTTTATCAACATTTGATATTTTCTGATTTTTAAAAATATTAGCTGTTTTGTTAGGTATGTAGTGTTTTGTGGTTTTATTTTATTTTTTTAAATATCAGGGAGAAGCTATTCTTTTTTTTAAAAAAAAGATCTTATTTATTTGTTCATAAGAGACAGAGAGAGAGAGAGAGAGAGAGAGAGAGAGAGAGAGAGGCAGAGACATAGGCAGAAGGAAAAGCAGGCTCCCTGCAGGGAGCCTGATGTGGACTCGAGCCTAGGACTCTGGAATCAAAGGCAGATGCTTAACAACTGAGCCACCCAGGTGCCCCTCATTGTGGTGTTAGTGTGCATGTCCCTAACAAATTTTGAGCAATATTTTTTTAGGGCAAGGGAGGGGCAGAGAGAGAGAGAGAAAGAGAGAGAGACACTCCTGATCCAGCATGAAGCCTGACACAGGGCTCGATCTCACAATCCTTGAGATCATGACCTGAGCTGAAATCAAGCATTGGATACTAACCCACCTGAGCCACCTTGGCACCCCATTTGAGCACTGTTTATTGGCCATTTGGATATCCTGTTTTGTGGAGTGTCTCTTCAAGTCTTTTATCCATATTTTTCTTTTTGAGTGTCTATTTTTTTCTTAGTGAATTTTAGGAATTCTTCGTATATCCTGGATATGAGTCCTTTGCAGATGCAAGTATTGAGAATTCTACTCCGTAGCAAGTTGCTTCTTTGAACAGGAGTTCTTAACTTTAATATAATCTAATTCATCGATATTTGGAAAATACTTTAAAATTAAAATGTATTGACACAATACCAGCTGGAGTTCATGAGACATGTTTTGTGTTTAAATTAAATAAGAAAGCAAAAAGCAATCTCAGACTAATTGTGTAAAAATGATCAAAATTTTATTTTTATACATGTACACAGTAAATACTGAATGTGACAAACATATGTTGAAATGGTAACTCAAGATGCAGAACAAACTCTCAGCAAATATTTTGTATTGTATTTAGTAGACATTTTTTTTTAAAGATGTATTTATTCATTTTAAAGAAAAAGGGAGCAGAATGGGGAGGGACAGACGGAGAGGGAGAGAGAATCCCAAGCAGATTTCGCATGGATCCCTATGCTGGGACTTGATCCCATGACCCTGAGACCACAACTAGAGCCAAAGTCAAAAGTTGGACACTCACCTGACTGTGCCACCCAGGTGCCTCTAGACAATTCTTATATACTGAACTAAAATTCATGCATCTGTCACTGTCTTATCACAATCCTAATATGGCATATGATTTCTTAGGGCAGACCTTCCAATCATTTAAGAATAACTATAAATTTTTCAATATATCATACACACATTATAAAATTTAGAAGGAAACTATTGTTAACATCCATATATTTTGTAGAAAGTTATCTGACATTTTACAGAACCTTAGTATTCTACAGAACTCTAGCTTCAGCAAAGCACAAAAGTATGGAGATACATGGTAGTAGAATAGTAAATGAATAGTGGTTCCACATAGCTAGAGTGAGGTGCATAGAAAGGATAGGGAGTAGGGGGAGAAAAGAGGGGGTGGCAGATGAGGCAAGAGAGCTAGGCAAGGATAAGACTTTGATAGTTCGCAAATCCAATACTGATACTTGAACTCTATCCTGCGTGAACACCCGTCATGTTGTAATACAATTTGTATTTTTAAAGTTAATAATGATGGTGATACGAAGGACAAGAATGAATGAGAGTTGTTGGCAGGGAGATCAGGGTCTACAGCAGTAATAAAGGGAAGAAATGAGTATGCCCTGAGTCAAGGCAGTGGCAGTGAGAAGGAAAAGGAAAATATACATTTGAGGATTCCTTAAGAGAGAATTATAGGATTTAGTGATTGGAAATGGGATATGAAGGAAAAAGAGAAGCCAAAGATCCCCCTATTTCTAGCCTGAATGATTGGAATGGAAGCTGATTGATTTGTCTGACAATAAAATTTGGGATCAAATGTCAATTAAAGATGATTGAGATAAACTGAGTATGAGGGGTCTACAAAGTGGTCTAGATACAGATGTTCACAGAACAGAAACATAGAAGTGGAGCTCAGAACAGAAAAGAAGACTTGAAGTCTCTGTGTAGGCTATAGCCAAAGCAGTTAGACTAGATGAGATTACCCAAAAAGCAAGAACTATGCAAAGAGAAAAGGACTAAAAATAGAATTTAAAGGGCAGAAAAAACTGGAAGAAATAAAAGAGACTGAGATAGATATGGAGGGATGGATGAAAAATGAAAAGAAGACAGTGTTATAGCAGCTGAAAGAGAAGAGGGAAGGTTTGGGCAGAAGTGTCAAACACTGCAGAGAAGTTACACAGTAGGAAGGACAGCAGAGATCAAAGATAGGATGTACCTGATAACTTTGGAGAGAATAGTATAGAATGGAGGGTATAAAAGACAGATTGCATTGTATTCTGAGGAGTGTGTGAAAGGGAAGGAGATTACCTAAAAAAAAAAAAAAAAAAAAAAAGTAGGGCGGGGGAGGAGATGATAGTAATATTCCAATTTTGCCTCAAACCCATGGATCATCGTGAAATAAATTATATTAGTCTTGAATTACTTGGGTAACTTTCCCTGCCTTTCTGCTCTGCTTTGCCTATGGATATCAAATTTAATGCAATTTTTCAAAGCTGTGTTTCCTTTTGATTACCTTTAAAAGTATCAGATTTGAAAAAAAAAGTATCAGATTTGAAGTCTTGAAAAATCTTTCTATCGTGTCTGTGGTAATGGCATGATGGCTGAATATATTAAAGAATACTAATCTTTTTCATCTTTTTTTTCCCCCAGGAAACAGTTTTTCCATCCCAAATCACTAATGAGCATGAGTCATTGATAATGGTGAAGAAGCTTTTTGCTACTTCTATTTCATGTATAACATATCTAAGAGGCCTGTTTCCAGAGAGCTCTTATGGAGAACGCCATTTGGATGGTAAAGTTTAACTAAGTGGTTACCGTGGCTGTTGCAGTCCTTTCCTCTACTTGGCAGGAATAAACCTTTCCTTTCTCACAGAGTGTGCTAATTCCAAGTCATGGCTTGTTCTTCAAGATCAATTTGCTAATTCATTTTCCATTTTAATTTCAGTATGTTTAGTGGTTTTACTTATAGGAATCATTAGTTCCTGGCTAGATACCAAATGACAGACTGAGAAGAAAAGAAATCTGTATAGACAAGCCCAGTAATTCTTAACCATACCTATAAAAGCAATAGCCAGATAAAAATCTATTTGGGTAGCTGTAGATTTGCGCTATTTTGTGCCTCAGTTGAGTTTGTCTTTGAGGTATACTTTGGCACTGAGGCAGTTTAATGGAGTTAGGTGAAAAACTCTTCTTCCTGTTAACACATACAAATATGCTGAAAGAAAAGCATATTCGTGCCAAACCCATTTGTCGATTTGCATGATTATTCTAATCAGTGCCTTTCTTTTCTCAATTGCCAGGTCTCCTAATTTTACTCCTTTTTATTTCTTGTGTCTTACACTGATGATCTTATTTCGTTATATTACAAATTGTTTTGGCTCCTTTCCTTCTCTTGTACTGAAAGGAAAAAAAATGTACCTAGGACTCTTCAATTTTTTAGAATCTTATCATTAGCCTAAAAAGCTGGATTGTGGTAACTTCAGAAAGTCTTGCTGATTTGTCACTAAAATGGGAACTATCATTTGGGAAAATAAATGTAGAGAGCTATAAGTTTCCTTGTAAGATCTTATTTTTCAAAATCTAACTTTACTTTAAATTCCTCACATCTGTATTTAATGATATACCTTGGTCTCATTCCAATTGAATTTTCTTAACATTTCATCCCCTATACTAGCATCAATGAAATGCGTGTATGCTGTAAATCCAAAAGCGTGACATTTTCAGTCGCGACAACTTCATTTGTATATGTCTCCTTTTGGTCTATAGAATATAAATCTGTAATAGTGAATATGTTTATAGGTAGCACTTGGTTGCATTTCTCCTTGTTTGGAACAGAATTGGAAAAAAATGGAAAAAGATATGTTTGGGGTAACTAATTAAGGGCTTATTATGTGCCCATCACTACCCTAGGCGTGGTGGTGGGGGGCGGATGTTAAAAAAAATTCAACTAAGTATATTTGAAGATCTAATTGGTTTTATTCGATGATTCATCAATAGTGCAGCAACCAATCTAGCAAAAAGAAAGGAGCTCTGAGGAGCATTACAAATTGATAGACTGTTATAGGCAGAAACAGAGTGGGACAAGGAAGTCATTAGTAAAAGAAGAGAAAGGTTTATTTCAGGCAAGGTCACCTTCCTTGGGTGGGGGGGAAGGGTGGGGGCCTACCATGCTGATTACCTCACTAGTATTGATCAGAAAATACCAGGTTGACTGGTTAAAGATTACATTCCTGCAATTAAGTCTTGATTTGCTCCTTGTGGGGAACAAGTGACTCAATTTTAGGCCGGCCCGCCTTTCTTTCTTTCTTTCTTTCTTTCTTTCTTTCTTTCTTTCTTTCTTTCTTTCTTCCTTCCTTCCTTCCTTCCTTCCTTCCTTCCTTCCTTCCTTCCTTCCTTCCTTCCTTCCAATAGAGGTAATACTATTACTTATAGCTTTATTTTTTGTGATAGTTTTAGTAGAAGTTATAGGTCTCCCTCTCAGTGTTTGGTCTTAAAGTAACATACATCATAAAAATGCTCAGAGTGATATAGATCACTCTCCTTTTGGTGATCTCTAAATATTATACCAACATGTGGTAATTTTCATGTACCTCAACAGAGGTAGAGGAACATCAGTTTTAGGATAGGAAAACAATATGAAAAGGTGAAGTAATATGCAAAGTCATATGTGAATCAGTGATCGATTTTGGACTGATCTAAGCCAAAACTCTTTAAATATGATTTTCCTGTTCTCTAACTATAGTAAGGTAGTTGAATTTCAGTTGGAAATTAATATTTGAGAATAATCCATGGGAAAAATCTTATCTTTATTTTCATTTAGAGGGGAGAGAAGTATGAGAGAACTAATTTGAGATTAAGGTACATGTTTTAAATTGGTTAATGGAGATGGTCTCAATAGTCCCTTATGACTACCTGGAATTTAACAGAAGCAGAGAAGTGACAACAAGTCAGTTGTGTTGCATTGTAGAAGGGGAGACTGCTAGACTATGATCAAAATTAGACTAAGCTAGTTTTCAACATAGGATTTATTTTTAAAGTAGGTATTTAGAGATTCAAAATGTTTTTATAAATTATAAAATTAAGATATATAAATAAAGTAGTTAAAGGAAATACCCTTGTTTAGCATGGACAATTTTAGTACAGTAATCATTTAGTAGAGGAAATAGCCTATGTTTCTATTTTTATAGACCTCAGTTTAAAAATCCTTCGAGAAGATAAAAAATGTCCTGGGTCACTGCATATTATCAAATGGTAAGTAACTGAAATTCCACAAAAGTTGAACAACATTATTTTTGTCATGGCTGAAATTACCTATAAGACTTTATTTGAGGGATCCCTGGGTGGCTCAGCAATTAAATGCCTGCCTTCGGCCCAGGGCATGATTCTGGAGTCCTGGGATTGAGTCCCATGTCGGGCTCCCTGCAGGGAGCCTGCTTCTCCCTCTACCTGTGTCTCTGCCTCTCTCTCTCTCTGTGTGTTTCTCATGAGTAAATAAATAAAATCTTTTTTTTTTTAAATACTTTATTTGGTAAGATCATTTCCTTAAACCCTTCCTTTCTTATTTTCTTTCCTTCCTTCTTTCCTTCTTTCCTTCCTTCCTTTTTTCACAATTTCCTGGAAATTTAAAACAATTATTCAATCTAATTTTAAGATATTGACTTAGTTTTGTTTTTGAAGAAAATGAACTTGTATAAAGAAAAATAATTGTATTTTTGAAACAAATATAGCACTGTATGTCACCTTCAATAACAAAAATTAAAAAAAAGAAAAATATCAATCAAAATTTGATTACTCCTCATATGCATGTCAGTATCCTAAACATTATGGCAGACAAAAAGGAATGTAAGATGGGGTTCTCTACCTTAAAATTGTTTACTTATTACCTATAAAGATCTAACAACATATTAAATGACACTGGGAGATTTCAAAAAAGCTCAAATGGGAAAGGTAAAATGATTACCTACTTAATGTACTTAAAAACAAAAATTATAAATCAGTTCTGTACTTGGAATTTTTTTGGCTTTTACATCTGGCCCAAATTGACATCAAACATTTATTTCTTGACAGGATCCAAGGTTGTTTTGATGCTTTGGAAAAGAAATACGTAAGAATGTTTTTAAATTTACACCATAATTAAAGACTTACCTTTTATACCTTAAAAAAAAGTTTAGCTTTTATTTTGTTGTTGTGTATTAACAGCGCACTAGTGCCTACATTTGCATTTATGAAAGTTTCTTTTTATGTCTTTGCTGTCTTGTTGATGTCTTGGTTTCATCGATTAGAAAGGAAACCTTCATTTTTCTCTTTTACATACTGATATCTTTTTGACCACAGAATTTCCTCTGAAGTCACTGGAAAAGATCCAGAGGATGTGGGACAGGGGAGACAAGAATCTGGCATTTAGCACATTGAACATGTTCAAAATAGTTGTGATTCAGTTCACAGATATGAAAGGAAAAAACGGACTTGAATAATTAGTTTTTATTCTATTTTAATTATTTTATTAACTATGTTTGGTTCATGTATATAACCTGTTCCCTCAAATAGCTAGTATTGTACCTTGGATTTTTAAAAATGCAGCTTGAATTTTAAGTGCATTAGATCTTTCTTGCTGCCCAAGACAGCTATGAAGGGTGTAAAAATTAGAGGCTCTAGTCCTAGTTGAAGAGACAAAATGTATATAAATGAACCTCCTACCACTGTTTCCCCTCTTCCTTCCCATCCAAATCTTCTTTTAAATTCTTCTCAATTTGGGGCAGCCCTGGTGGCGCAGCGGTTTGGCACTGCCTGCAGCCTGGGTTGTGATCCTGGAGACCCCGGATTGAGTTCCACGTCGGGCTCCCTGCATGGAGCCTGCTTCTCCCTCTGCCTGTGTCTCTGCCTCTCTCTGTGTCTATGAATAAATAAATAAAATCTTTAAAAATAAATAAATAAATTCTTCTCAATTCATATTCCCTTAAGAAATTTTGAGGTGAATAAGCCTTATCTTGGATTATTTAGTTGCACTCATACATTTCATTTTACAATAAACAGCTATTTTTTTATAATTCATTCAACACTGACCTGGGAAACTGAGAGATACAAAATTAAAACAGATATGGGTTGTGCACACAAGGATCTAGACCATGGCAGAAGATAAATGATATTCATATGCATGGCTGATAAACACTGGCCCGGCTGTGCCTGTTATTAAATTATTGAAATACTTTATATCAGGTGATAAATAGCTGTTTTGCGAGGACCCTTAGTGACCTCCACCATTGTCTCTCCCTCACCTCACCATTGTCTCGTTTGGGATCTCCCTAGACCTATCCATAATCTAGCAACCAAAGGGTTAGCATCTGGCCCAGAGGAGCTTCCAGGAATCCAGCAACCAAAGCTAAGTTGGCATCCTTTCTGATTGGCCAGTACCTGTGCCATATTGAGCTGTTAAATACTGTTTTTTTTTCCACATCAGTTTGATATTTTTACCTAAAATTTTTTTACATTTTTATGTAAAAATATCAGATATTTTGACTATAGCTCTATCACAAATATAAATACCCATAATACTCATTAGAAATATATGCATGCTAAAGAAAAGATACTGATTGTGTGCAATACAAGTGTGGAAAAGGAGAGGTTGTATTTAGTAAGGAACATGAGGGAAATCTTTGGGAGAAAATGGCTTTTGAACTTTGAAGGCCCTTAGTATTTGGACAGGTTTAAATGGAGAAAGTCATCACAAGCATACAAATGCTACTCATTCATTCTCCTTCATCCATTCATTTAGCAACATTTATTGAGCATCCATCATTGAGAGGCAGTGCAAAATAGTTAAGAGCACAAGTTTTGGAATCAGTCTAAAGGGAATCCCAGTTCTGGATTTAACACCTGTGTAATCTTGGGCAAGTACTTACCTCTTGGTACCTTATTGCTTTATATACAAAGTGGGGATAATAACAGAACTTACCTCTTAGGGTTTTTTGAGAATTAAATGAACTAATCTAAAGCACTGATTTTCAAATGTTAGTTTGCATTGGAATCCCCTGGAGGACTTGTTAAAACACACATTATCAGGCCCCACCCCAAAATCTCTGATGTGAGACTTTTGCATTTCAGATAAATTCCAGGTGATATTGAGACTGCTGGTCTAGGGACCATACTTTGAGAACCACTGATCTAAAATGTTTAGAACAATGTCTAGCATATAATAAACACTATGTAAATGTTAACTCTTTTCCCCTTTCCTCCCTGTCTCCCTCCCTCCCTTCTTCTACCCTCCCTTTGTCTCTGCTTTTGTTCTTTCCCTCCTTTCTCCTCTCCTTCCTTCATTCTCTTCCTTCCTCTCTTCCTTTTTTATCTATTTAATCTGTAACAGACCTTGTACCTAAATACTGGATGAGATAAAAATAAGGGAAAGGTGTGATCCCTCCACTCAAGGAGTGTCATTTCTTAAATAATTACAATGTTACATGTGCTAAAATAGCAATGTGATGTAAAAAAGATTATCTACCTAGTTTGATGGATTTATTTTACTGAAATGACTACCTGTATGACTGAATTAATTAAATTTACTGTGTTGGGAGATTAAATGACAACACCTTAGATGGATGACTTAGCCTCTTAGTGGTATTTATATTTGTTTCTCAGTTGTTAGTCTCTTGATTTCCTACTAGGAAACAATAAATGTGTTAAAAATACTTTGAGTAAAGTCAAATTGGAGTATCTAAAATGTTCTTCAGTAGAAGATGATGATTATTTCTAGTGAAATTTTGGGAGATTTTACCCTCTTTCCTTTGTAATTCATATTATGCTCAAATTCTTTAAACATGCATGCATTTTTAGATAGTTACAAAGAAGAGACTATATTGTACAAAGCCTCCTAATCTGTCTCTTACTCCCATTTTCAGTCCCCTACCATTCCAACTCACTATCCACACTACATTCTTTCAAAAATCTAATAATATCAATCTGTTGCCTGAAAATATTCCAGGGCTTCTAAAATAAAGTTGAGAGTCCTTCACAGAGAACCTGTATGATCTAGTTTCTACCTGCCTTTCTAAATGTCATCACGCTCACTATTGCTAGCCATTTTAAAGCCACACAAGGATCTAGGACATGCCAAGTGCCTTTTCCCTTTATATGGGTTGTTGCTTTTCCCTGCAAAATTGTCTTCCCTATCCATACCATTTACATGGCTAGCTCCAATTTATCCTTCAGGTCTCAGCCTAAATATCCTTCAGGTCTCAGCCTACTTTCTTAGAGAGGTCTTCCTGGAACACACACCTCTACCCCAGCTTAGATTGTCATTTTGTTTCATGTTCTCAAGTGCCCTGTGCTACTTTGTCATAGCAATTAACACAATTGTAATTATGTACCTGTTTGCTTTTTTTAAAAATTATTTATTTATTTATTTATTTATTTATTTATTTATTTATTTATTTATTTATGATAGTCACACACACAGAGAGAGAGAGGCAGAGACACAGGCAAAGGGAGAAGCAGGCTCCATGCACCGGGAGCCCGATGTGGGATTCGATCCCGGGTCTCCAGGATCGCGCCCTGGGCCAAAGGCAGGCGCCAAACTGCCGCGCCACCCAGGGATCCCTGTTTGCTTTTGTGGTTTAATGTTTTCTCTCCTGTTGGTCTTCATGTTCCCTGAGATTAGGGGCCATGTCTATTTTTGAATGAATGAATGAATAAATGAATGATTAGTCATATAATATAATTTAGAGTTTTACTGTGTAGTCTTAAAATCAATTGTATGCAGTAACGAAAATAGCCACACAGTGTCACTAAAGTTTTAGTCCTTTGGGTGAGAAAGGTGAATAATTTGATATGAAATTATGGATTGGGACCTTTAAAAAAATTTATATGTTTAGTTTTAAAATTTTAACTAGGTTTCATGACCAACATGGAGCTTGAACTCATGACCTTGAGATTAAGAGTCATATGCTCTAACAACTGAGCCAGCCAGGCACCTCTGGTCCAGAAATTTTCTAATTTGTATTCCAGTTTTAAAATTTTTATCAGAGGCTAGATTATATCTCTATATATTGGATTACTCTTTCAAGCAGAGATAATTTGTTTATATTAATATGTATGTAGGTAGGGCAAGGATTTCGTAGACTTATCAGACTTTAAAATTTTTGTTTTTATAGAATAGTTTTAAAAGAAACAATTTTTTGGAGATACTGGTGGCATATTTAATGTTTAGTAATAATGAATTATTTTGTATATCTTTTGCCTCCCAAACTAAAATATAACTTATAGAAAGTACATATATATGTATGTATGCATGTATGTATTTTTTTGCATTGCTCCTCTCCAGCAGAACTCTGTGTATGTAAATTTATAGTCAAATGAATGAGTGAATTAGTATTCCTTTTCAGATCTTCTACCCAAATCTTTGGAACCTCTCTGAAATCATATTTTAATTAGCCTTTATTTGAAATAACAGTAATATCAGTGGAAGTATATAATAACAGTGGTTTTCTTTTCTCTTGAAGCTACATATGGCAGTACTTACAGTAAGTACACATTTAAAGACCAAACCAATGTCTCTATTGTCTTTTGGCAGGTAAAACATTAAAATAGTACTATCCCCACTTCTCCCTAAATTTATCTGTCCTATGACATTTTAGAATAAAATAAATATAATTTATCAGAAGTTTTTTTTAATAATAAATTTATTTTTTATTGGTGTTCAGTTTGCCAACATACAGAATAACACCCAGTGCTCATCCCGTCAAGTGCCCACCTCAGTACCTGTCACCCATTCACCCCCACTCCCCGCCCTCCTCCCCTTCCACCACCCCTAGTTCGTTTCCCAGAGTTAGGAGTCCTTATGTTCTGTCTCCCTTTCTGATATTTCCTACCCATTTCTTCTCCCTTCCCATCTATTCCCTTTCACTATTATTTATATTCCCCAAATGAATGAGACCATATAATGTTTGTCCTTCTTCGATTGACTTATTTCACTCAGCATAATACCCTCCAATTCCAACCATGTTGAAGCAAATGGTGGGTATTTGTCGTTTCTAATGGCTGAGTAATATCAGAAGTTTTAATGAAAGATCACAAATTATGTATTTCTTAGGTATATTACAATACATGGGAAAATATATAAGGATATACTGTTTGCTTCATATATTGGCTATCAGGATTTCATTTTTTAAAAATTACAACCTCGGGGTTTTTTTGTTTTTGTGGTTGTATAGACTTTTTTGAAGTCTTGTGTGCTTCTGAGTATAACATGGTATATATAGTTAAGAATAGAAAGAAAATGAGAAGATAACATGGAGAGTCTTACATATTTGATTTATTTAAACATTTTTAAACCATAACAAATTATCTTGAAATATGTATATCTCAGTCCTCAATTAATAGAGCACAAATTGAACTCTTCACATAGAAAATATATTCTGTGAGGAGTAATCTAGTAAGTTTCAGAAATTGAATGTTATTTATTTCTCCTTAAACAGCTTTTCACAAATCCCAAGGAAGCTGAGGTAAGAATACATTGAGAGGGGATTTTATTTTAAATGTGTTTACCTGAATTGAGCCTACTGATTATGTTACTAGATTACTATATGAGCAAAGTAACTCATCATGAACTCTGTCAGTGTGTTTTGTTATAAACCATCAATTCTTTATTATGAAATTTTAGTAACTACTTAGGGATGTTGAAAAAACTTTAAAAAAACCATAGAGGAGTCTATTCCCTAACATGTTAAAATTAAAAATATCTGTGTGTATAAAACCACATTTTATTATTTATTTTAACTGATTTTGAATCCTTTCTGTTTGTGGCCTTTTGGAAAATATGGCATAATTCTAAACTTTTCTCTTTTTTGCCAAATAAATTCTTTCCTATTTGACCTTTTTATAGAGTTTCAGATCTTTACTCCTTCTTTCTCTCTTAATTTCTTCCCTATTGAATCCTACTCATCTTCTAGGCCAACTTATGTCCAAATCTCCCATGAAAGCCTTTTGGCCTATAGTGTTCACACTAATTTCTTCCTTCTCTAAATTCCTTTTCCAACAGGACCCCACAATATAGCACTCTCTGTTGATTTATGTAGATTAACTTATGTCTTCAACCAGATTTTGAATTCTTGAGGACAAGTGTCTTGTCTTGTTTTCTATCTCCCTGAGCGAATATCATAGTCCTGGACATATACTAGTTATTTGTACTACTTTGAATGGCAGCTGTGGTAATGGCACAGATATGGAGGGAAAAGCTCTTTGTTCTTTCTTTTCATTCTATTCTCTTTATTTTCTTCCTAGCTTTCTTTCCTTTTTCTTTGCTTTCAATTTTCCTTCTTAAGCCTATGACTTTAGCCTAACTGGTGGTATTCAAGACAAATTAAGCATTTTTAGCCTTTAATATCCTTTCTTGGGTAGATTATAAATAACTGTTTGAGCAGGGTAGAGGAAAACTGGTACATGCAGGTGGGTAAAAATTCCTCAATGCTTGACTACTCCTTTTTATCTTTGTGTCTTGTTTAGTTTCAAAATGCTTTTTTTTTTACCCTGAAGGTTTGAGGGGAAGTTCCCCAAATTAAAACTTTCTGATAAATCATTAATAAATCCATAACTTTATTAATGCAATGAATTATTTTGTTTTCTTTCTTATGCATATAAAACTCCTAATCTGAGACTGATGCTTTTGAGGTAGTGAAATGCTGAGCAAATTAGGCTTAACTACAGAAAACTCTTGGGTGGAGGGTGTGTGTGTGAGGGGGTGCTGTTAAATGAGCTTTGATGCAGGCAAAGTAATAAAGTTAGAAAACAAAAGCTTATATTATGAAGTGTTGAGCTATCATTTATAACCCAGAAAAAATATTTTGAATGCTTACAGATTGTTCCATATAGCAGTGACCCATAACTTCTATGTGTTCATGGCACACTTTTGATTGCTAGAAATTTTAGTGGCATGTTTGAAGATATTAAAAGATCAAAAGAACACCAAACCAAGTCAGTGATAAGTACAATATAATTATGGAATAGCAATGTTCATAATGCCTAAAAGTATCCTTAGGACTGCACTATTTTATAGTTGATATGTAGCATCAAGTCACCGGTACAACCACTTACCTCTCTAATCTCATTCTTTTATATAATTACAAAACAACTTTCTCATGTAAACACAATCTTTCTTTGTCGTTTATCTGATATTGTGCTATGTTTCTTGACTCATATCTTTAGAAGTATATCCTTCCCTAAACAAAACTGAACAATAGCAATATTATTAATATATACCTGAAGCAGAAATATATTTTATGTATAGATTAAAACTTGTAGCAATCTTGTGAAGATTCTTTAACTGTACAATAGTTGCACACCTCCATCTTAAATCAAATAAGTGTGCTTACCCATTTCAGGGACCAATGGAGTTTTGGGCACTGCACAAAGCTGTGGTATTTCCATACTAGAAGTTTTGTTTTGGTTGCTCCATTTCATGACAGAGATGAAATGACAAAAGTAACTGAAGTAGTAAAGAGGGGTAGTGTAGCTTTCCTACAGATACACACTATAACATGTGTGGAGGGTATTAATAAATTGTGTAAACCAAAATGTAAATATGTTAAGGAAAGGTTTGTAGGATGAAATCCTAATTGAGTGTGAACTTTTTCCCAGCTGAATATTTATTTATTCAGCAAATATTAATTGGTTTCCCTCTATCTGCCTAGCACTGCTCAAGCTATAAAAACACAGGAGTTAATGGGATAGACAAGGTCCTGGCTCTCTGGAAGCTTACATTCTTATATCCTCAAGGGAGGATAAACAATAAACAAAAATGGTATTAGATAGTCCTCCTGCTATGAAGAAAATAAAAGAAAGGTAGTGTGCTGGAGAGTGCCGAGGCAGGGAAGGGGGAGGAGGGATTAGTGTGCAGCCTATGGAAGGCCTTCAGAGCTAAGCCTGAAGGGCTAGAGGAGTCAGTTTATGCAGGTCTGTGAGAGACAATGGCATATGACTAGCAGAATAGCACAATAGTTAACATTGTAGGTGCTAGGATCAAATCCCAGCTCTAACATTTACTAGCTTCATGTATAATTATGATAAGGATACCTACTTAAGAGTATTGACTACATAAGAATGACTAGATGTAGAGCATTTAGGAAGTGCCCAAATATTATCATAATCAACTGGAGATAGCATGTTCCAGAGTATAGCTGTGCAAAGGCCCTAAGCTAGCAAGGCATCTTGTATGTTCATAGACAGAAAGGGTGCCCTGAGCCTGGAGCTTAGTGGGTAGCAGGGAAAGAAGCAGAAGTGTAAGATCTCATGAGCTAAGGTAATTTTTGGATTTTATTCTAAGGGCAATGGGAACTGTTGGGATGTTTTAAGCGAAGGAGTGACATAGTCTGATTTGTATTTTCAAAAACACTTTTTAGCTATAGAGCAGAGAATGAATTACTGGAGGAATAGTTTGTAAGCAAGGAGATCAGATGAAAAGAGATAGTGGTAGTTTGGAAGGGTAATAATAATGGATGGACTTGGGATATGCTTTGGAGATGGGCCTGGATGGTCTTGCCAATGGATTGGAATGTAGAGGGAGGAGGAAAGGCTATATATGTTGCTATTGCTTTGGTATCTGTGAATATATTCAGTATGAGTAACAGAAACCGTCGCTGAGTGGTTTAAAGGCCCCTCTTTATTAGGCAACACATTAATCTGAAAAGCAGAAAATGTTTTATGCAATGTTAAGAAGAGATGAATGTCTGCTGTAAATATCTTCTGTCATAATTGGAGTTAGATTGAAATTAGCATTTTGTGTAAAACAATTACAAACCTAACTCTCTTATGAATTGCTTCAGGGACCAAATAATGTGTTAATAAAATTATCAGCTACTAAAGGATCTACTTTTGTTATAATTAAAAAAAAAAAAAAGCTCAGAGCATCGAGAAGCTAGATTTTGTTGTGAAACATGGGCAGAAAAAAAAAAAAAGAAACATGGGCAGGCAGGAAGAATAGGCATCATTTGTTTGGCAGGGCAATTACACCCAGCATGAATGAAGGAGAGGTTAAGTGTGTATCTTGCCTGTCCGGGACAAACCTGTTGCGGTAGGCACCTCTAGCATCACATACTTCCCCTACCCTACTCACAAAGCAGCTTTCTAAATTTTGTTTGATTTCCCAAGTAGATTGTTTTTCTAGAAAAATATTTTTTTTAATTAAGTCCACTATGAATCAGTTGTCTTAGAGTTTAAGCAGCACAAGCCAGTTTACCCAGGATCTGATTACCTGTGATTAAGTTGTTTGCTAAGGTTTTAAGATCAGCAGAGCTGGGAGAACAAGTCTTAGAGTAGAGAAAAGTAACAGAAACACTAAAACTTTCTGATCAATCTAACCTCCTCATTCCCACAGTGTCAAAGACTGAATATTGAAACAGATGAATAAAGGGCATTTTTTGTGTTTGGACTTAAATTTATACCTTTTACCTGTCTTTCAGACCTTCTCCAGATCTGTGGACAAACTATACAATGTATCTGGGCCAAACATTTGCTCCAACTACAAGACAATCATTTTATTTGACATAGAGTATGTCTCTCATGAAGATATGTGTCCCTCTTTATTTCTAGCTTTCTTAACAGTTAGGAGAGCAAATAGCAGTGATCTCAAAGTTTTAAGGGCAGGATCAAAAAAATGAGACCTGATGTCATAGATCCTGGTTCCTTTTTGAATTTTTCTAGTTTTCTTGTTGCCATTCTGGTCTTCCCTGAATTACTGGAGCAGCCGCTTAATTGCTCTCATGGTTTCTACTTCTTCTTCTGCAGTATTAAAATAGCCAGGGTGATCTTAAAAACACGCAAATTACTCCCATGCTTAAAACACTTCAGCATATTTCTAGTTTACTTAGATTAAAATCCAAATCCCTTATCATGGCCAATAAAGCTCCACATCCTCATCTCCCACACTGTCTTACTTGCTTACTCATTGCCAGCCACTTTGACCCTGAAGGAGGCTTATTTTCCTACCTTAGAACTTTGTGTTGCTGTTACCTCTGCCCAGGACACTCCATCCTCCTCCAGATCTGCACATGACCCCTTTTGTCACTGAGGCTCAGCTTAAGCATTATCCCTTCAGGGAGGCCTCCTTGGCCCTTCCAAACCAAATCAGCATTCTCCCTTCTTTTCTCTATCACAGCTTTTGTTTCATATTGTTCACAGCACTTACTACTATCTGAAATTATTTTATTATTTGTTGACTGCTTCTCTCCCCTGGCTATATATTCCAAATAACAGGGATCTTTTTTGTCATGTTCACCACTTTGACTCCAGTGCCCAACACAAAGCAGACATTTGATAAACATCTGTTACATGAATGGTTTCTCAACTGGTTTCACTGTCACTTACCTATGCCTGGTCAGATACTTGACTCTGCATCTTAGTTTCTCTAGCTATGATACAGTAACAACAGAATTTGTCTTCTAACTCCTATTTGGCATGGAGGAGAAAAATTAAGTTATCTTTATATCTGGAAATATTACTCCTGAATAGTGTGCTGTGAATCCAAAAGGTATGTAGGTAGTATAGTAGGTATACAATAAAAATATTCTTCACCTATTACCAGATAAGGTTCTGGATTTCCTTTTTGTAAGTAATTTCTTTCTCTGTTCCCTTTGATATTTCTAGAAGGTGACTGAGATATACCAGTTCAAATTCAAATACACAAAAGAAGGAGCCACAATGGATTTTGACAGGTAGAATCTAATTGTTTAATGGACATGAGAAATAGGACTGAGGTAAACATAGCTTCTTGAAGCCATAGACAGATCTTATATTTCCTTTGTAACTTCCCCACACTAATCCTACAAAAACTCTATTAATAATAATAATAGCAATAATTGTTTAAATTTCTGAAATCCATGGATGAAGTTGGTGGGAGTAGAGTCTTCCTTTGCTTCTTTTCCTCTTTTCCTCATAGGTGATGTTAGTGGGGTCTAAAGGTAGTTAAGCTTAGTGGTTAAGAGTTCCAATTCCTAAGGCAGAGAGATCTATCTTGGAATACTCTATTATTTGTCTGATTTTGGACAGATTACTTGACCTCCCTAAATATTAGTATTCTCATCTGCACAGTGGAATTAATGATATTTACATCATATAGTTGCTGTGGCTGTTAAATTACAATACATATACAAAGCTTTGTCCATGCCTGGCGTATATTAAAAAGCCAGTAAATGGTACCTGGTGGTAATGGTGGTGATGGTAGTGGTCCTTGGAGGCTATGGTGGTTGGTGGGTATCACTGCAGTAGAAATTATATTAATGAGGCTGTCTTCATGGTGTTGATTGAAGAACTCCTAAGATTCTATGTAGACACTAACCCGAAGTTTCTCTATTGCTATGCCAAGATATTAATCTCTGCCCTCAGTATAGCCAGACGGGGTCTACAGTAGATGAAAATCCTGAACTGTTTTGCCTATAAATGCATTCTCATCTATTATCCCAGTATGTCTTACAAATGTGATTTTCCATATGTGTCCCTGTATGGAAAAGATTGGAAAGCACTACATTTTCTTATCAAGTTTAAAATGCCAAGTTTTAGGTGTACTAACAGATTAAAGAGCAAAGACAAGGTATTTGCTTAAAAAGGTCCCCAGTACAGGTAGAGATGTCTTATTGAAGAGCAACATTTATTCCCATCCTAGTAACTTTTGAATTCAGCTAGATGTAAGTTTTGCTGATGAGAGGGAATAGAAGTAGAGGGGATGGATGGTGGTGAAGAGTCCTGGGTAGTAGAGGCTCCAAGTCGAAAGAATGAGTGCCCATGAAAGGAACAAATCTGAAGAGAAATGTGACCTAATTCTCAGTTTTCTGCTATTAGCTCTGTTGTATCATTTACTGCAAGTTTGAGGATTTCTCTTTGAGATTCACTTCCTTAATCATCCTCTCATTTGTAAAACTTACAGACAGCACTAAGATGTGCAGAGGAAGTAAGTTCTAGGAATGAGAATTAAAATATTAATCATCATAAACTAGCATTTATATAGCATTGTATAGATTGTACAGCAATTTTCATAGATATTCTCCCACATTAAACAGTTGCCCTTTACTCTCCAAAATTTAAATATAAGTACTACCGGCAATCAGATTAATCTCTTTTGTTATGAAGGCACATATGCCAAGTGGAGAGCAGTAAAACAGAAATAGCCAAATCTTTCAGCTACTGAGGAGAGAAGGTAATACATATTACTAATTTCCTAGAAACCAAAGATAGACATTTATTTAAATGATCAGTCATACAAAATTACCGTATCATTTCTTCCATAGTGAAGATAATTTCCCTTTTAAAATAGCACAAGGGAGTCTTGAGTATGATTTTACATGGATGTGATTTTATGAATCTGATATATACTGAGAGATCCCATAAGCTAAAATGCTATAGTCCTTCACTCTAGTTACCTATTTCAAATTGGTTAACTCTTAGTAGACAAGACTTTGTTGTTCAAAATAAAAACAAGGAGCAAATATATTCACCTAATAATGCCTATTTTATGAATTCACATTTCTTCCAGTAGCTCAGTTACTTAAGATTATTTTTCACTATTGAGTGCCTTCTATGTGAAAGGCATTGTGCGAATATATTGCACTGATAGTCCTTCCTAGAAGCAACTCAGATATAAGACCAATTTGGGAAGAAAATTTTGGAGAGAAATAAAAAATATTTAGAGTTAGAAGGTAATTTGGTTTGACTTGTATATTCATTCATTAATCCCATAAGTATTTATTGAGTGTTTACTGTAGCTAGCACCAAAAAGTACTGTGGACATGAAATATAGAACCATGTGTAATCTAGAGGGGCGATATAAACCATTATAAACAGGAATAATGTATAGGAATTATCAGGGAAAACTTTCTTGAAGAGGTGAGGATGAATTCAAGAGTCAGGAAAAGAAGTGGGAAAAGCACAATACAAGTAAACAAAATGAACTCATATACAAATACCTGTGGATGAGAAGAACTGGGTAGTATATGCAGATGAGGTTAGAGGTGAGGGCATGACTGGTCAGGAAGGGCATTGTATGCATACCATTATTTAATTTGATTGAAAGGTAATTGGTATAAAAGAAGAATTCTTTTTTAAAGATTTTGTTTATTCATGAGAGACAGAGAGAGAGAGAGAGAGAGAGAGGCAGGCAGGGGACACAGGCAGAGGGAGAAGCAAGCTCCATGCAGGGAGCCTGATGTGGGACTTGACCCCAGGACTAAAAGAATTTAAAGCAAGAGAGTAACAGAGCAGATTTTCCTATGAGGGAGGTATATTACTGCAACAGTGGCGTAGAGAATGTTATTACAGTGTGGACAAGAAGACAACTAAGAATAGATAGCCATTGTTGCAATCCCAGTAAGAAGAAGGGATATCTTTGACAGATAACTAGACAGTAGAAAGGCCAGAGCTGATGACTGATTTTCAAATAGAAAATTTGGGAAGATATAGAAGTGTGTATAAGCTTATCTCACAAGTGAGGTAACTGACCTAGAGTATTTAAATGACACAGGTCATTCAGTTAGTTAGCAGCGGACCCAAAATTAGATGTCAAGTCTCCTAATTCCAAATCCATTGTTCCCACTATTATGGCATGTGGTTATTTGTAACTTAAATTTCTAAAAATTCAAGTCATATTTAAAATGACTTAAGGGAGGGATCCCTGGGTGGCGCAGCGGTTTGGCGCCTGCCTTTGGCCCAGGGCGCGATTCTGGAGACCCCGGATCGAATCCCACGTCGGGCTCCCGGTGCATGGAGCCTGCTTCTCCCTCTGCCTATGTCTCTGCCTCTTTCTCTCTTTCTGTGTGACTATCATAAAATAAATAAAAATTAAAAAAAAATAAAATAAAATGACTTAAGGGAGGATGAGCACTGAGTGTTATGCTGTATGTTGGCAAATTGAACTCCAATAAAAAAATATACAAAAAATTAAAATGACTTAAGGGAACTTGCTATTTAAGAAATACATTGTATATACATTGCAAAAAGTATAATCACTGATCTAATTTACATTCTAAAAATGGCCTCCAGTGTTGTGATATTTATATTTATTTGATCATATGGTAAAGAGTTTTGTTCTTTTTGAAATAGATTTTCAATATTACGTATGATTGAAAGTATGCTGTTTTTCTATGTGGTTATAGCAGTAGTGCAAGCTTTGAAAGTGGGACAAACAGTGAAGATATTAAGAAAGCCAGTATTTTACTGATCCGTAAATTATATATACTGATGCAGAACCTTGGACCCCTTCCTAATGATGTTATACTTACTATGAAACTCCACTACTATAATGCAGGTAGGTGGAGACCTCTAGTTAAATTCCTTAAGTATCAAAATAATATTTTATATAGAGAAATTTTGTAAGCATCTGAAAGAGATATTTGTTGCTACACATGAAAGACTAATTTGATTTCTTCTATTGAAACTCACAATTTTCTTGGTTTTTTGCCCTTTCCATTTTGCAGTGACTCCACATGATTACCAACCCCCTGGTTTTAAAGAAGGGGTAAACTCACACCTCCTGCTGTTCGAGGGGGAGCCTGTTAACCTGCAAGTGGGATTGGTCTCCACTGGTTTTCATAGCATGAAAGTAAAAGTCACAACTGAGGTCACCAGAGTGTCTGATTTGGAGAACAATCTCTTTCAGGAGAACAGCACTACCGAGATTGCTCATCAGGGTCTAGACTTTGATGAGGAAGAAGAGGAATGCAACAATCACGTAAGGCAAAGCTGTAGCGAATCTCCATTGATTGCTTCAGTTAAGCTAACATTTTGAATTCCTATACAGGTTATATCACAGTGACAGTCCAGTGGAGTGTGCCAGGTATAAAAAACTAAAACAAAACTAGCCTCTGCCCTCAGGTAGTCTTTATTGTAAAAAAAAGTACTGTCTTCAATAAGGGAATATACTTTGTCAGTTGAAATTGTCAATAACTAGTAGAAAAAAAAAAGACTTTCCAATATACTTCTTTTATGAATTTAGAAAATTTGGGATTTTCTTTTTCTCATTTATAGGATTTAAAACATTTTGAGGATTTAAAAGATATTCTAGGTGTTTATTCTTACTCACTGGAAGTATAAATAAGTTCTTGATTACTGGGATAATTGAGTGAGGGAAGGTTGGGGGAGAAAAAAAGTTATGGATAAACTTAAGTCAGAGTGAAAACAAAATGATAGTAAGTTGTTTGTTATGAGGAAAGAGAGACAAGCTCCAGGGAAAGCCAGAGGGCTGGGGGGTTTGGAGCCACTAGAGCCAAATGAATAGGGCTCTGAGCCCTTTACTTGCCTACTTCCTTCAGTAGAGACTTGGAGTTGAGTACTTACCAGGGCCTCCTGTGCCCTAGTAAATCCTACCCTGTCATCTGTATAACAAAGTTTACTGTATGTCAACATTGTATTAAAAGGGTTCTGAGTTAGACATAAAAATTTTTTCAGACTGCTTAATGGGAAGTGATGCTATAAAATCTTAACAGGAGCTATTTTCAAATTAGGATGCTAATTTATTTGCTTGAGATCATTTGAGTCCTACTTAAAGAGATGACTGTACTAAATAACTTCTGAAGATTCTTTCTGGGTCTTTAAATCTGTGTTATATTTAATATATTGAAGAGAAGTCTTAATATAGATAATATAACCAAACAGGATTTTTTTTTCCTTCTTTACAATGTATTTTCACAATGTCACACATGCTGATGGCTTTAGAATTTGATGCAACTTTCTTCTGATTCTGTTCTAGGAAGCTATAGCTAACATAGGCTGTTTTAAAAAAATTAAAGGTTAAGAAAAGAATGGGCCTGTTTCAACTGGATTTTTATCTTTTTAAAATTAAGAATTTCTCTTTTACCAATGGAAATGATGGGACACCTGGGTAGCTCGATGGTTGAGCATTTGCCTTTGGCTGAGGGCGTGATCCCAGGATCTGAGATCGAGTCCCACATCGGGCTCCCTACAGGGAGCCTGCTTCTCCCTCTGCCTGTGTCTCTACCTCTCTCTCTCTCTATCTCTCATGAATAAATAAATAAATCTTTAAAAAAAGGAAATGAAAGTGGACAACTTGAGAATGAATAATTCATTTGATAGATTAAATAAGGACCCTGGCATCATGACCTGAGCCAAAAGCAGATGCTTAACTGACTGAGCCACTCAGGTGCCCCTATTTTTTATTTCATAGATTTAGAATCATGGAGTATGAGCCATTTGTTCACTCAACATTACGTTGTGAGATTTATCCGTATTCTTGCATGTTGTTGTAGTCCACTTTCACTATTCATTCCTCTAGTGTTGATGGGCATTTGGATAATTTTCTAGTTTTGACTATTATGAATAGTACTGCTCTGAACATTCTGCACATCTCTTTCAATGAATTATGTACACATTTCTGGTGGGAATAGAACTGCTAAGGGTAGATTTGCTGGGTCAAGGATATGTGTACATTTAGTTTTAATAGGTATTACAAAACAATTTCAAGCTCCGGAGAAAGCCAGAGGGCTGGGGGGTTTGGAGCCACTGGAGCTATATTATACTCCCATTAGCAATGTATGAGAGTTATAGTTGCTCTACATCCTTACCAAACCTTGGCATTTTCTATCTTTTTAATTTTAGATATTCCAATGAATGTGTAATTTTATGTCACTATGGTTTTAATTTGCAGTTACCTAATGACAAATGAAGATGAGCATCTTTTCCTATGTTTAATGGCAATATTGGATATACTTTTTTTTTTTCAAAATTTTATTTATTTATTCACGAGAGACACACAGAGAGAGGCAGAGACATAGGCAGAGGGAGAAGCAGGCTTCCTCTGGGGAACCCGATGCGGGACTCAATCCTAGGACCCCAGGATCATGACCTGAGCTGAAGGTGGATGCTCAACCACTGAGCCACCCAGGTGTCCACATTATGTTGGTGTTGTAACCATAATTTTATCAAACAGCTTGACCAGGAATGTTTTCAGCTTCTTTGTTCTCACTTCTCAACCCTTTGGTTACCATTTCCATCTGTTTTGCCTTTGAAGTATTTCTTAAGTTTGGCCTTACTGCCATTGCACTGATTTGGTCTGTCATCGTTTCTTTGTGAATGACAACTTAGTCTCTTTACTGAGTCTCCTTGATATCACCATTGCCTCTTTAATCTGTCCTCTGGAGTACCAGAGAATGAGAGTACTAAAACTATGATAACCATTTTCAAATATTTCAAATTCATTTATTTTATGTAATTTCAAAGGACAGAGGGAGAGGTAGGGAATGAAAATCATAGGGAGTAGTTAGAGGAGGTTGATTTTGGCTCAATAGAAGGAAGAACTTTCTCTTAAAAAATTTGAAAGCAGTATTATGACGACATTAAAATAATTTAAAAAGCAATGCAAATCTTCCAACTTTCCTACCATCCTATTGACAATGTTTTCATTTTGATATGTTCTATCACCTCCAGTCTTTTTCCACAGATATACATATGTGTATATGGCTTTAATCATGGTCTATATTTATTTATTTATATATATATGTACATTTGTTTTACTTTTATACTTAACATTAATGTTAACTTTATAAATATGTTCCTCCTTAATCTTCACATTTTTAATTTTAGTGATCTTTTGCTTTATTTAGTTTTGTGTTTTACTCTGCTCTTTCTCTACTTGTAAACAGTTGTGCTCTCTCTGTCTAAAATAAGTAAGTAAGTAATAAGTAAATTAAAACCCATTTAGGCTAATTCCTTATTTTGCTATTAAGATAAATACTTTTGTGTGTATGACAGAATTGTTGTTTTCTCAGGATATAATATCAGGAGTGAATTGTACAGAGCCTAAAAATTTGTATAGCCCTTGAGTGAGTATTACTGAATTATTTTCCAGAAGCTTGCTAGCTTCTCTACCTCCTCAGGATGGATTTTCTGACAATGACAACTGTTTAATAAATCTGGCTGTCTTGAGAAAAGTTAATTCCTTGTCACTAGCTGTGTTTAAGTACAGATATATACTGTGTTCAAGATAGAGTATAGATGATTGTCTCCAGGATGTTGCAAGAGAAAATCATGATTTAGGGGAAAATTTGAAATAGTTTGACCTCTGAGATCCCTTCCATGCTGAGATTCTCTGGGATATTTTTAAAATTCCTATAAAGAATAATGCCTTGCTAATAAGCACTGTGAGAAAAACAAAGACATACAAAATATAGTTTCTGCATTTGGGAACTCTGGCTGAAGAGACAGTACTTATATAATATAATGAGAAATAATAGTGGAGAGTATATGAATGATAGAAATAATATTAACTAACAACAGAGCATTGTTCTCAGGGTTTCACATGTATTATCACTTTTAATCTTCCCAGCTATTTTATGAAGTAGATTCTATTATTATCCTTATTTTATAAATAAGGAACACAGACTTAGAGGAATTAACCCAAGGCTACATACACAGTGAATAAGTACCAGGGCCAGAATTCAGATTAAGGCGATTGGATTCCAAAGCCTGTGTTACTATAATACAGAAATAAGGATAGATTGGCACTATGTGGGAAGGTTTCATTGAATTGGTGATTTTATGGATGAATTCTATTTCGACTGGCAGAGATTAAGGCAGAGGATGTTCCAAGCAAGTTGGAAAGTACAGTATAGTACAGAACTTCTGTCTCAAAAAAAAAAGAAACTTCTGTCTCTATGACTTGTAATTCCAATACTGAATTTTCCATACCTTTCCTTATATTCTGTGTCTTTGTTACAATCTCTACAGTTGATAATCTCTAACTCAAAGTTAAAAAAAAACTTTTCTAAATAAAATTTTCTATTAAAATAGAAAGTCTACAAAATCTTGATCAAATGGCTTATACTGCTTTTTTACCAGTGATCTGTAGGAAAGAAACAATTTAACATATCATATTACTGTGAGACTATTATAAGATTTTTTAAAAAAAGATTTTAATCCAATTTTCTTTTTCAGGTTATTCCTTATCTCAGTCACAGAAAGAGAAGTATAAAAACATTTCACCCATAGTTAAAACTATTCAGTATTTGTACCATTCATTTTTTTGGTATGATCCTTAAGATCCAAGAAATGATGTAAAAGTGAGATAATAATTTGAAAATAAGTTCAAAAACAATAAAAGCACACAGATTTGAAATTTGAAAATTTCAAATTTCTGCAACACCTTCAGGACAGGTCTTCATTCCTAATAGGGATGGTTTGGGCTTAAGACTTAACTAAGCCACACAAACACAATGGCACCTCATAGTCTGGGCAGTTGGGCCTGTTGTCTGTTGTGTTCATTGGACAGATAGCAATAGACCTATATGCCAGAGACCCCTGGACAGGCTGCTTTAAAGAAGCCACTATATAGTGACAATCAATACATATTCTGGAATTGGATGCGAAATCTTATTTAAATTTTATGCTAAGTTGAAATACTAAGTGAAAAGTACTTTCTAATATAGATAATTAACTCAAGCTCCTTAAAAGACTGGTAATTATTGACATATACAGACAACTATAAGAATGAAGGACTGATGTTGCCCATATCTACTTTAGAAATTGATGGTTCCAGCTTATTAAACCATTATAGCTGTTTTGGAATTTAATTTTTTATCAGGTTTTTAGATAGGGGTTCATATGCCATAATTTTCTAATTTTCTGAACTCCTTAAGAGTCTGTACCTCTATGTTAGAAAAAGTTGCTAGATACTCTACACATCTTTTCTAGTGCTTCCTTTGTGCCTAGTAATCTTGA